ATAACCAATTAAATGCCAAATGTAGGGAGACGTTGCATATATGCATCAACTTGGTAATGATTGAAAGCAAACGTTATTGTGTAAAAATAAGAAATACAGATAAAGAGAAATAAAAGCAAATTTAAATAAAAACACTTGATTTTGCTCATAATTACAAAAAAAAAAAAAAAATTAAGCATCGCTGTGTGATTTGGAATTTACTGTGTTTAAGCTCTTTTCTCTCTTGTCCAGCAAAATTACGCTATAACTGTGCCTAATCAGTTTTTTCTTAGATTTTCTTTCATACTGTGTTAGGAAACAAAAAGTTTTTCACTACTTTCATTGCACAAGTGTAACTCTGTAATTCTGTAACTCTAAAATATTAAATAGAAAAGATAGAAAAGATAGAAAAGTAATTAAGCCGTAGCCGTATCACCTCACAGGTGGAAAAGGTAGGAAAAAAGGCAGTAAACAAATTTAAGTTTCTTTATTTTAAAGACCGCATTTCGGCTTTAAATATTTCATTGTTAAGTTCAAAAACAGAGTTGACAAACTTTTCACTAGATTTGTTTTGTAAGTTAGTAATTAGTTTTTATTTTTATCTTTATTTCTCTTTATTCATATTATCATCTTCTTAGAGGTGAAAAAGCTCTGCTTCATCAATGAGATAGAATTTGACTTTCTCTTAGTCATATTTTAAACACTTTCACTGCCATTGAAACAAATTAGGCAGGAAATTGAGAATTTCAAGTAATGACGTTTATTATCAAGTCGCTTGGTGATTTCGTAGAGTAGAGATCATGTAAAATGGATTCAATTCAAATTGCCATAGATAAAAGTAGCACATAAATATCAAAGAAATAACTTTGTAAGTATGTAAGATAGAAAATAAGAGGTGGAAGACATACCTACATTTTAATGGACATATGAAATTGATTCGTTTTATTACTTGTTAAGTATAGATTAAATAATATATAAACATATATGTATATAAAGCAACTATGTATATACATTTAAAAAAATTTATATTAAAACTATACGTGTTTTATTATTTATCTGTATAAATATTTCATTAGACAACAAACTTTTTATGTGCAGATAAGTTTTTATGTAATATATGCATTAATAGGTATGCTTAAAAAAATGTAGATGTTGACTTAAAAGATATTAAGAATTGATTAGAATGTGATGAGATTTTTAGCAAATTTTTTAACATTAAAATCCTTTATGCTTCTAGTAAAAAAGATACAATTTTAAATATATAATAAAAAATTATACGTTTATACGTATATTTTGTACAAAAGTATTTAAAACTAACGATGAATTTATAAAAATTTTTTATAATTATTTTATTATTAATACATATAAATGCTTAATTAAGTTGGTGCATTACATGCGTTGTTGCGTTTTTGTGTTTAATCATTTCTTTGTGAACTACTATTTACACAAAAAATAAACAAATTTGCAAAAACAACGATGTTCACTTGTGTACCATAAGAGTTTGTATGTAAGAAATTAATGGACAAAAAGCTACCCATGATAAACAACCCATTACAATTTAAATTACTGAGTTGATTTTTTGTAAGTTAAGAAAGTAAGTTAGTAAGTATATATAACATCATTTATTGATGATATAACTATGGTATAATTATAATATAGTAACGAAAAAGTGGCTAAACTTTACAATGACAATACTTTCAATGTCAGAATTAATTATTTTAGTTAATCATATTGAGAATTTTTGACTATAAATCCAGATCTGTCTGAAATACAGCTTGAATTTCATGTCTAATTATTTCTATAAAAGCAATACATTTATAATTTATTTTTATCAATACAATTTAATATCAAAGAATTGCAAAACCTACTGATAAGAATTAATCTATCTATTGACTTTATTTGTTTTTTATTAATTTTAAATGCTATGGACAAAAAGTACTGTAGTTGTGTATTTAGTTAAATAGAACTATATAATATATAGACCTACATAGATATATAGGCCCAGACTACTTCATCATCTGCGGAACAAAAGCCCGATGAGAATTTGGTGAGTAATAAGGACTAAGAAAGAAAAGGGTGGCATATAAACACAGCGGAATAGTAGTGTCAAATACCATAAACCATAACTTACAAAGTTAAAGTAAAAATCAGATGAACGTAACATGGCTTATAACTGATTGAAGTATAAATTCACTGGAATAATGAGAAACATGTCGTGACTTGCTTGTTTTGTATAATCCAGTATATGTTATACTTTATAGGTGAGCCGATATCTAGTTCCACTATCTATCTTAATAAACTTTTATGCGTAATTATATATATATATATATATAAATAGTGTCAAGATGCAACCGTTTAAACAAGAAACTGTTAAATTAAATTCTAAAAATCTATGAAAATTGATAACTAGGTCATGAGATTTGTAACATAAGTAAGATTAATATAAGATGAAAACATAAAATTATAAAAAGATGCCAATAATATAACAATATCCAAAAATAAAGTAACATATATTAAATTTTACATTCAGTGTTATATTATTATATCATTTTATCAGTGTTATTAATGTTTCTGTCAACGTTTAGTAGTCCGAATTGTATTTTTTACACGGTTGCATCTTGACAGTATTTAATAGTTAAAAATATTTCTTTATATATTTTTTTATATTAGAATTTTATATGGTGGCCAAATTATTACGATTGTGCAATATTATCCTATTAATTATTCTGTATTTTAGTTAAATTTTATAAAAATTGTATTTATCTATTTCCGTAAAGTAAATATTTGTATTCTTTTGTCTCAATTATTAGCAATTTTACCTTTTTTTGTGTTAATTACTTTACACCAATTTCCTGAAAAATAAATATCTAAACTATATCTTAGTCAGTCACATTTACCCAACTTGACTAGCTATGACTGGCTGTGACTACCTGTTGATCAACTTGTTACTTTCGAGTCGCAATTCTTTGTCCACAGCGATTTAAATGCAATTGCATGTTGGCTTGCTATCCGACACGCACATGCCCATTTATGTTCAGGTACATTTGGACGTAAACCCAAATGATCGCGTTCGCATGTAGGTGCAAGAAGCCGTAAAGTAACAGTGGGTTTTTTACAGAACAGCCATAGACAACAGAAAGAACAGTTGTTCTTTGGCTTGAGCAAACACATATGTGTGCGGAGGGAATACCGATTTACTCGGACCGTGCAATAAATTAACTAGAAAACATAAAAAGAATATTTAAATGAAAACAAAAAAAAAATATTGTATGAAGAAAACAAAAAAGTATATAAGTAAGTAAAAATTAGTGGCCATAAAATCGAATAAGGCCAATAGCCGATCGTAAACATATTAAATATATTTGGGTTGGTGAATTGAAAGTAGAGGAAGAAAGCCACAATTAAAAGAGGAAGTCGGACTTGCAATGTTTTGTGCAAGTTTTATTAAAAATATTTGGCCTACATTATGGGCAACGTGCAAAACGAGTTATCAAGAAATTGTATTTGGAAACGGTTCTTATGACTCAACTTGAAATCAATATGAGGAAAAGCGTTAATTTAATTATTTGTGATAAAATTTAAAAAACTTAAAAAAATTAAATTGAATTACATTAGTGTTTTGTGATATGATTTCATCAAAATTGATAATTTGATTATTTCAGAGAATTGAAAATTTTTGTCAAAAGTTTGGTTAGGTTAGTTCGGTTATTCTCAAAACACTTACACCTTTACCTAACCCATTGTGACACTATTTAAAATGAATTTCATTATCTCTTTTTTTTTTTGATTATCATAATGATTCGTTATCCATTCAAGTACACAGACATCATTCGATAGGTTATTTGTTGATATCATTACTAATTTATACCGCGTAAAGTTATTAGATCAGGACAGTGACAAAATAAAGTTTAATTGGTTGGTGGGTTAGTTGCAGTGGCAGGTCAGAAGATAAATTTCCACTAACCTCAATTAGCGATTTTTCGTCGTTTTGTCACTATATTTCTCCCAAGAAGCTTTATGAAATAAAAAGACAAATTAAATCCATCGCGTCGAGTTTACACAACAATATGGTTTTATCGATGAACAGTCTAACAAATTGTCAATAATGTACTACTGTTGGCCAGAAACGGACATTTACTGAGAAAATGCTTCATAGTTTTTTTTCTTGCAAGTTTTTACAAGTTTTAGCCTTCTTTAATAAGTTCCCAACATCTAGTCTTGTTATAAGAGGACCATGCTAACCGAGAATTTACACATTGCCTAAGTGTCTTTTATTTTTATAAGTACTTTTCTTAATGATCTCATGTGAATAAATCGGTACCCCTACAGATACATCTAGGAGAACACTGAGGCATGCCAAACCATCTGTTTTTTTTATTCTTAAAGTTAATTATTTCATGAATAATAAATTAAATATTCAATATTAAACCATAATAACAATATAAAAAATTGTATTGTTTAAATTTATCACATTTGCAGTGGAAAAATTATATACGGACAATTAAATGTATGAACGTTTCCAAAGACAACTGATAATGGATATTTTTTAATAGTTAAAACAGTTCGGTTAGCACAAACATTCACTGGGTATACTACTTTTTACTTGTTATGTACCATATGTTGGTGCAGAGTCTGACAAACTTCATCTATTTCAGATTTAATTTGCAATACTTTTTCAACACAATATTTATTTCATATTATTGCATTATTTATCACTTTTAAGTTTTGAACTGCATTTAATGCTAATGCTTCTAGTGTCGGAATCATCATGATATATGGAAAATTGAATAAATTTATATTGCATTTCACCTGATATAGTAATAATGAAATTAGTTACAATACCTTTATATATAGGTAGATATATACCATTATGTCAAGAAAAATTTTAATCTAGTTATCCATTACTTTTTTTTTGTAATTTATTATGATTGACAGTTCTTTGTATTTAACTTACATTAAAAATTTTTCAACTTCAGTTACAATTTATTTCAAAGAATTATAATTAAAAATAGTAATAGAACTTTTGGCGCCTTTAATTTTAAAAATACATAGTGTATACGTTAAAAGCATAGAAATTCAAAGAATCATTCAGGTAACTATTATATTTTAAATAGTTTTTAAATAAATAAAATATTAATATAATTATGGTTCTTGTTAACCATTCAATTATTGAATCAATTGTTATTATTCAATTTTTTACTATATTTTAACTTACCTTTAACTTAAGTACATAAATCCAGTCTTATGCGTGGTTGTATTTTGTGTCCAGTTAGACGTAGTTTTCAGTAAAATAGTTGTCTAGTTTTTATAAGAAATTTGCACTTAATTTGCATTTAACACTGCCTGACGCGTTTTTATGGCAACTAGCGAAAAATAATTATATAATTTCACAGCCGAATATATTATCTAAAAAATTTTAATATAATTTAATTAAAATTGTAAAGTGATTTTGTGTTAAAAATTAAAGTCTTTATTTGATGGAATAAAATGCTATCCAAAAGTCTTTAAGATTTCTGTTACTAATTTCTCTATGAGTCTTTTTCTAAATATATTTCGGCTTAAATCGCGGCATTTATGAATAATTCATACAGTAACACATCAGTTAATGCGGCTAAGTAACTAAAGCTATTAACATATTTCGTTTTTGGTGTCATGCTCGCCACAATCTGCAGATACATAGTCACACGTAAAATAGATCCAAAAATGAAGAACATTGTTATTTTAACTAATTCTTATTATTGAATTTCTCTACTGTCCATATGAACTATGCCTAAGCCACTCCCTAAAATATTTACAAATTCTTTTTTATATTATATTATATGTGCTTTTGCTATACCTCAATATAAGAAAGTATCTATGTGTTTTCATTCGATTTTATGTGTCTCTGTAATACAAATATTTATTAGCAATCCGATTAATTGAGTAAAAGTAGCGAATACGTTATATACATATATATACTTAGACGTAAATATGGATATATACAGCTATGTATACTTAAAACGAACTGTGAAATTTTTGCTTCTTTAACTTCCTCAGATTTCTTTGCTCGCTGTGATTTGATTTGTTTATATGTATTTATCAATAATTATTTTATTAAGAAAATACCTGCAGTTATTGTTAATGATTTTGTTAAAATTATTAAATTTATAAAAATAATACTGAAAATATATTGAGTAATGTAATATATGTTGTCCTATGACAAAAAAGATATTTTGAACAGAAAAGAAGTGGTAATAGAAAATAATAAATTATTATTTAAAATGATAAAATAGAAAGAGTTAATTAATAATAAATAATTAATAATAAATTATTATTATTTGAAATAATAAAATAGAAATAGTTTATTATAATAGTTGTTATTGCACAATGGCACTATATCAAAAATTAATATTTCAATTAATTTAATTATTGTATTTTTGCTTAATTTCAAAAAAAAAAAATTATTTTCCTAATAGAAACAATTTTTTGTAATATATAATGTTTAGCAACAACACAATTTTCATTTTTAATTAAAAATAATTATTTACAGATATATAATTTTTATAAAATTATAAAAAAATTATTTAAGAGTAATTAAATATAATAAATATATCCAAAAAGAACACAAAATAGTTTTGATTGAACAGTAAAAAATTGCAACAACAAAATTAACATTTTTAATTAAAAATTATTATTTACACATTAAAATACTAACAAAAATATGAAACAATTATTTACGAATTACATTTAGAAGAAATATTTTTAAGAAGACCATGGTGATGGGTATTTGGCATTCTATTCAAAATAAGAATTTTGTTAAAAATATAAATATATTACTCAACAAGTCTTTTTAAAATTATTAAGACTACTGGTTGACCGTAAGAATTTTCTATAATAATTTTTTGATTTAAATAAATAATTAAGTATTTAATTGGAAATTTTTTAGTAAGTCAAGGAAAGTAAAACTTTTTGATCCACGTACTATCACGTACTATTGTTTGAAATAATAAAATAATAAATTAATATTTCAATTAATTTAATTATTGTATTTTTGCTTAATTTCATTAAATTTAATAATTTAATTTGAATTCGAAATCCTTAAAAGAATATATTTTTAAAAAACAAAAATGGAATATGTAGTAAAGAGACTAGAAATCAAGCTAAGTTCTTTTCAAAGAGTGATTTAGTGTTATTTATATCCACATTAGTATCTTTCTATGTAAATAGGATAAAGACATTTTTTTCTTAATCATAAAACTTAGTAGTATTATTGTTTTTGTATAAATTGCATATAATATTATTTATTATATATATTTTATTTATATTTTATTTTATATATTTTATAATAAAAAGTTCATTTATTTTTTTTTTTTTGAAAAAAAAAAAAAATATCCATAAAATAATAAAAAATATCCATAAAATCATAATAAAATCATTCCAATAATTACTTTGATGTATTTTTTAAAATGTTTTCATTTATTACTAATTGTTACTTCAGCCCTAAAGATGGAATTAATGGGATTTTGTGTATTTTGGAATGACACATTATTATTATGTCTTATTTGCTCATATCTTGCTATTGATGGTAAACGGACACATTACATTCATACCGAATAAGAATTAGAATCTTGAAATAACAGATAGTAGTGAGTTTATTAAAAGCCTTAACTTCGTTTTCTGGCAAACTTAAAAGTATCCATCTAGGAATGGCTTAATAAATCTTAAAAGAGCTCGAAACAATATTGTCTACATTAGTAATCATAATATTTTCGTCTTTAAAATTGTTTTATTATATATATTATTATATATCTATTATTTTACATAAAAAGTAGAATTTTATGAAAATTTAAGAAAATTGTTTCCCATCCATATAATAAAAAACATTAAATAAGCATTATAAACAATTTTAATTTCTATTGGTAATATTAATTATTAAAAGTTGTAGTTTGCTATATTATCACGTGATAGTAATAATAGCGCATCTCTTACGAAATACTTACTCCTATTTAGCATATATTTTTTAATATTTATAAGTACATAATTTTACAATAGAATACTCTATATCTCATGAATTTAGTCATTGATTATCATATAAGTATTCGCAATATTTTGATATAATAAAATTTTCATACAAACTAAAGCAATGCACAAAATTGAACAAAAAATAAAAGACTTAAACAACGAACTTAATTAGCAATTTGTGACTTATGAGCATGAGAGTGAACATAGCACCTGTTAAGTCTTCTTCTTTGTTGCTGATATTATTTATTGAAACTGCACTTGTTCGATGCACATTTAAATTGTTAAAGCATAAATGTATTGATTTCAAATAAATGGCGCCTTTTCCTTGCCACTTGCACTTAAATATACTGTGAGGCTTTTGCACATGAAACTTAGTTGATTTTTGTGGTAAAAGACACTTGGGTTTATAATTTTTTTTGTTATTTTGTTTGAGTGCTTGTATTTACGTTGAGTTTTTGCATAAATACAAAACTTAAAAATGCATAAAATGCTGCAAATGTACAAACATCACTAGATAATAATGCATTAATGCAATAACAATAATAATAACAACAACAATATATTGTATCTGAAATATAGTGGAATTTTATAATATTTTACTTAAACCGCAATAACTTTTTGTTTTAGTATTCACATTTTTGTTATTTTATTTTCTTGTAATATTTCTATCTTTTTTTCTTATTCTCTTAATATAAATTTATATATATATATATATGTATATATATATTTGGTACGTATATATTTTCTTTCTGTTTTTTTTTCTTCTCGAAATTGTCTTCACTTCTATATGGCAACATTTGTATTTTTTATGTACTAATCTGTATATTTGTAAGTATGTATGTATGCTTGTGCAAGTTAGTATATTTTTACTTGCACATTCTAACGTTGTAACGCGCCTTTGATTCTTCTTTGGTATTACAAAATGGAGTTGTGCGGTTAATGGGAGCGCAACCACTGTTCAAAATATTCCTGTACACTTAAGAACGAACAACGAGTAATAATCTTTCATTTATTATTAAAGATCATACAAATTATGTATAGATTTTCTCCAATTTAACATTTAATAAATTTTCAAATTTTTTTTTTTGAGGAAACTAGTTCACCACTACAATGCTTGCTTTTTTCTTGTTTTTGGTTGCACTTGAAAATTTTTAATAACATATTGTTGCATGTACATATATTATACTTTTTATTTTAAATTCAATAGTTCATTTAATTAGCAATTCCTTATCCTTTGTTTGTATTTATAAGTTTACACGTTTAGTCACACTGTAATCCTTTGCACTTAATTATGTAAACTAATTAGTTATATTATAAAGAAATTATTAGCCCTAATTTAATTCATTACTAAATTATATTGCACTGCATTTTATTCTCAAATAAATAATTAGCTTCAATTTCGACCTATATTCCACAACCGTTTACTGTACCATTCGACACGAAGGCCAAACACTCACTAAACTTGCTTAAGAAAATCTTCAAAGCAGTAGCTTTGTAGCGGCAGAATGGAATACCAACCGAAAAGCATAAATACCATACATATAACATACACATATGCATTAACAAACTGACAAGAAAACGACTTTATTTTTCTTACTAACAATTTGCTTTGAGCGTAGTATCGTTTGCAGTAAACACAAAACACAAAGCAGTAACCAGTAACACACACACGTCCAACACGCGAATTGCTAAAACGACAGGTAAAAATATACTGAAATTGTAAGATTAACAATTGCCTCACAATAACCCAAGTAAAACCGCGCAAGCAACGGCAAACACATAAAATGCGACAAATCAAAAGAAACACGAATAGAGAGAAAGAGAAAATATTAAAAGAAACGTTGAAGCCGTTGTACTTGCTATTATTGTATTACTTGTTGCTGTTGCTGTTTTTGTTGTTGTTGCCATTGTTGTTGAATGATCCGAATTGTGTGAGCTACAGAATACGAGAGAGAGAGAGAGAAAAAGAGAGGGGTCATACACAAAAACTTCAAACTAAAACCAAATACAACACAAAGATGCTAAAATAATGCTACTAATTGAATTTAAAAGAAAAAAAAAACATTTCAAACAATTTAAAGTTCTACGTTCTCACTTTTTAAATTCTTCAATAAAAATTTGACTCATTTTTGTGTTGAAAATTTCACTTGTTTTTTAGGAATTCAGAGGCTGTTCACTTTGAATAATGTGAAAGCATATCCGTAACTAATTTCTAAACAAAGATTAACTGTTGATGAGGAATGCGCTTGGAGTTAATCCAATATTCCAAGAATTTTCATATGACGAAAGGTCAGCGGTTGAGCAGGAATGACACTTTGACATTTAAGATGAAATTGTACAGATTTTTGTATTTATATAAAAAAAACTTTCAGCCAATGAACTCGTATTAAAAGTAAAATATGATATAAAATTATAAAAAAAATTGTTTATTCAAAATTATTATAAAAAATAACTTTCGAAGGCTGTTTAATATTAATAAATCAGAGTTCATCTCTGATTTTAGTATGATAAAAATTGAATATATAATATTATATATATTAATATATTATATAATAATATTACAATATTATTATAACAAACAGTCTTTTATATAATATATTAACACAATAAATTTAATTTAATGCAGTCATTTAAAGTTACATTTATTATATCTATAGGCTTCTTTCTCTTCAACCTCCCACACGAAATTTAGCGGTTTCACAAGTGTGTCATTATTGGTGTGGAATACTAGTCGTTCCTTCCACACGTAATTTCGATTTTTATTTATTTTTCGTCTTGTAGAAAAAACACCATTGCATGTGATGCGGGTTTTAATTAGAATTTGCTCTTTTCTTTTTTACACTCGCTCGTTTATTCAATTTACACTCATTATTGTTGTTGTGTTGTGAAGTATTGCCTCTTACAATTAAATTGTTGTAATATTTTTCTTGACTTGCTCTCATTTCTTGTGCTCTTAGAATAAGAGCATTACTGTTGTGGGATTTTATATTTGAATTTCTGTGTATTTTGGTTTTATAGTACGCACGCAATCGACGTTGTTATCTGACCAGGCAGTATGTTGGTACTTTTAACATAGTGCCTAGGAGCTTTAAGGCTGATATATTTGTGCCGTGAGCAATTAGCTGACAGTGCATTAGTTATTCGTGTCAACAGGGGACAAGTAAATACTTTATGTGCAAGTATTTAGTGTTTGGGTTGAGCTTTTCATGTTGTGTTATTTTTACAACTAATCACTTTTTGGTTACACTACTTTACAAAAAATATATAAATATTTTTTCCAAAGACTAGACCTATATTAAGGTGATTTTTTCTCTTATCTGCAGTTTTTCCATTTTTTGCGAATAATCGTTATATGTATTAGTTTTTTCGTAACAGCATTCTGCATATGCCTCCAAAAAATTTTTTGCGGAAGTTTACCGCTTTCAATATTTTCAACGTTAATTGCTTTCTTTGTTTTTATTCTTTCTTCTATTCGAAGCCAAGTTCTATCCGACATCCAGATCTTTCTGGCTTTATTTTTACAACCCAGTGTATCTCAGTAACCCAGTTTGGCAACCAACATATAATGATCACTGCCCATTTCAGCACCTATTTTTACATGAACGTCCAGCAGCGTGACCTCCAACAATCATGAATTAAGAGGTGGTTTATTCATTTGTTTGTTCTCCCGCCCGGATAAATGCAAGCAATGTGTATAGCGATCCGCTTGCTAGAAGTCCGACGACCGCTTTAAGCCGCACCTAACATACTGAACAGACGCTGAAATAGAGACACCATTAGAAATTCGGTCCTTTGACCAGACTGTTGTTGAATCGTCCACTGCCTTGAATTATACGCTGCCTTTGTTTGATAACGAAGTTTACTTCGAGCTATTTGGTCCACAGGAAGTATTTAATTTCCCTCCTACTACCCATATCTGGGAGGTATTCCACTATCCGCAACCTGGGGACGCGCCCTCTAGGAATGTTAGGCTCGCCAAAGGACAAGGGAGATGGAGCCTTTCAAGTCGCTTATAACCTTTGGTATTCATATAAACACAGCGACAGTTAGTAAACCATTATTTGGCTTGAGAGCAAATAATCTCTTATTTATTTCTTTGTTCTTGTTTCGGATATGGAGTTTTTTCAAATAACACTTAAACAATAGCAAAGTCCTATTTTGAAGAACGGAGTATTTCAGAAATAATTTAAATTTTATTTAGTAAAGTCAACTTACTTGAAACATAAAAGAAATTTCGGAACAGATTTCTTGAGCAAGCCAACACTCTGTTGTATCTATACATGTCTTATTCCTAAAAGCTAAACGGTTTCTCATGTGTTAATAGTGGAGGCTACTGGGCAACGGAAGTTAAATAAAATGAAATGATTGTTGATTGCCGTGTATTTTCATGGCCGTATAGATTCTTGTTGAAATATATACTCTCTCTCACCAAGATACTTAATTGTGCATTGCTTCAAACATACTTCTAAAAAATTTTTTACGGCATGTATCTAAAATTATTCATGACGACAATGTTCAAAAATACCAAGAAGATTGACCGTCCACAACGATTATCCTTGAATTCCTATTGCAATTCGAATATTTTAATTTAATTTTACAATCATTTCGTTATTTTACAAATTGTTCAATTGGGGAAATTTTTTCATCCAATAAGATAATATTCGGTAATATGTTGCGTCGTGCTCCTTCACTTCTTGAGTCCATTCTTGTTTAACATCGATGAATTTTTATCCTTTTTAAAATTTGTAGGATATCACTTTGAGCTTGTTTTGGTATATTTTTTCATATATTTGCATGGTTATTTTCGATATATTTAGTTGAAGTGCCATTTGTCAGCGAAAGCTACCTTCATAATCTCTTGCAACACTGTCAATTGTGTTATAACATTCTATGATTCGAAGCTCGATAGATTTATTCAAATTAAAGTGTTGAAGAGGGTTAGTAGTAGCAACTTGTAGTTTACCACTTAATTACAGCGATAAATGATCTTGTACTATTATGTTAAAATTCTATGGTAAACAATAATGTTTTGAAAAAAGTACATCAACTATCACTAAACAGGTGATGGACAGTCTTGCCATTTCGAAATAGTCGAAAGTATAGCAATTTAAAGTTTAAAAATTAAATTATTACACAAAAAAAAAAACAAAAAGCAATAGTACATAAATTTAGAGTTATAATTTAACTTTATTTTAAATTATTGGAAAGTCATTTTAAACTAAATTTTGATATTATATTAAATTCAAATTCAGAGAGTGTATTATCTTTACTTTTATTCCGCAATATGTGCCTGAAAATAACTTTACAATAGCAGTAATTTTTTCTTTCAGAGCAGGAAAAAAATAACATTACCTCTGGTTGAAAGAAATTGGCAGCACTTTTAATATATGTTTAATGCTTTTGTTTGCCATATGTTTTTTGTTATGTTGTGTACAATATGATATGATACAAACGACTTGCATTTTGAAACATATTTTCAATGAACATTCATAACAGACTGATTTTTGAATTTGGCCGCATTAAAACTTTGGTCTTAAAATATTTTGGCGACCAAAACCTAACTCTGAGGATTTTAAGAGCATTGTTGTTGCTTCACACGTTTTCTTGCGTAAGTTGCGAGTATATTTTTGCTACTCTGAAAAAAAAATGACGGCTAATGTAAAGCCTAGTACTAGCATTGTTTTGCAGGACAAATTAACAAATAATTCATATAAATATAATATTTTATTATAAATGTTTCTTAAAATTTTTACATTATGGAAAAATTTTTAATATGCGGTTTTTTGTTAATTTTTCATGTATGAGTATCACATTGAAATTATTTGAGGAAGTATACCAAGGTTACAAAAATCTAGTGGGACATTAAGAAATGCATAATAGTGTGTCCCATGTGATTTGTTTTTTTGTTCTTTTTCTTTGTTTGTTGTGTTATTGTGTGGATTATTATATAATCCATTATATAATATTATATAAAATAGAAATTGCATAAAAATATTGCTTGTACTCATTTCTTGTTCTCTTAGAATTCATTTTAATTTTGCTATGCGATTTTATTTTGGAAAGAGAGCAAAAAAAAAAACGTAAGAAAGAGCACACAATCAACGCTGTTGTAGTTCTTTTTATTAAGGCTCATGTTATGTAGAGTGTCACGGGAACGTTAATTTCAATGCAAATTAAAAAATTGAGAGTGAGAGAAAAAAATATATGTCGGTTTAAAAAGCTTAAAAATTTAAGCTGTGGCTATCTGTGTCTCGTAGTTCAGTATGCATGTATGTATATATTTGATTTAAAAACTTAAGCACAACAAAAAAGTATAAGAGTGCATAATATGCATTTTCATCATAGCCTGAAAGACCCAATTTTGACGTGTCCGTGACACTATACATAGCATGGACCTACGAAAGGACACTGCGCAACAACAAATTATATACTAAGAAAAAAGTTTAAAACCAGTTTTACAATGTATTTTATTGTTGTATCTTTGTTCCATTCTACTGACATATACTATATCTATTCTGGGAGTAATTGTTGGATATTTGTCGAGATAAATTTGAAAATATGTTATGTGCAATATAGTAATGTAAAAGCACAATAAGATATTCTAATATACTTGCCTATTACCATTTCTTTTTGTTCTATGACTAATGACAAATTTTGTATTAGAGTTAACTGTCAATATATAATGTCATATTAATTATAATTTTTTTCCTGTAACTTTAAAATGTAAAATTTTTATAATAGAAAGAAGAAGTATATATATTGTTACAAAATTTCTAAATTTTCTTTTGCAACTTTAATGAATAAAAAAATATTCCATCACGTATTGAACAATACATTTGCAAAATAGTGTCGCAATTAATTTTATGTTTTCAAGGAACTATTGTATTGAAAAAATATTCGGAATTTGGAAGTACATCGGAGCGATAGGTATTTGGACTTGTCTATCTTAAGTAAGTGCAATTATATTTATATATATTTTAATAACTATTAGATTTTAATTAATTGTATGTAACGGTGTTTTTGTGTATCCGTAATGTAATAAAATTCCAGAAACAGTCAATTGTTCAAAAAGTAATTTTGATGATAGTTTCCTGTTTTATTGAATTATATATTTTAACTTTGGTGCAACACCATATGACTCCTGTCTAACAGTGGCATGATCTTTATTAGTAAACTATTGATTCAGGTCAGTCAATAGTAGTGAATGAGAACATTAGTATTTTTTATTCATTAGCAATGGCTTTCAAAGTACTCTAAAGTGATTTCAGAGTTTTTTAACTTCCTGATCTCCTGCACTTAGATAAACCATTCTTCGTCTATACTAATGATTCGCCTTAAACGCACAATGCTTTACTGTTTACCAGGAAACCATGTATGCCCATGAGAACAGCAGATTTGTTAGAATACTTTTTAGGGATGCTAAGATATTTAGGTTATCTCTGATAACTTTTTGCTAAATTATGTTTTGTCTAAGGCATTTGATATATACACAAATACATATATATATGTACTAGAATTGTGTAAGAAATGAAGATAAAGTATACAGCATATTAGACAGTAAGTCACAATATATTTTTCATTCATCAATATGGATTCCCTTAATTACAATACATTCCAGCGTTTCTCTAATACTTATAGGCATTATTTATAGAACAGTTTATCGCACGCCTTTCAATACCCAGTAATTACAGGCATGACTTCATTGTTAGAGTAAACATTTTTCCTTTTAGAGCATTCTTTTTAGATCTGATAGTCAGTAGAGTAGTCCTTAGGTGCCAAATCTAACAAGTGTGACAGATGAGAAAAAATTCATGCAATTTGGCGATCGTAAAAAACGACTAACGATGCAACGTGAAAGAACATTAGTTACTTCATTTACGTCTCGATGCAAAGGATTTTATTTATTTTGCTGAAAATGTTACAACCCGTGCTCAAAATTCCTTTCCGGAATTTATAAACGGATTTATTTATAAGATTTGAAATAAATGTGTACTTATTACATGCATACATATAACATACATTTTATTATATTTTCGTAGGTTGACGTATTTTAAAATTCTTGATATTGAATTGATATACGGTTTGAAAAGCCAAAAGCCAGATTTGCTTTTAAAGCATTTTTTTATCTAATAATTAGAACTGTTGCCGATAAAGTTAAGAGTTTTATTTGATCCAAATTCTGATATTTTGCAACAATATGTTAGCAGAACAACTTAAGCGCTTAATTCCTGGTTGTGGAATTATTATAGAAACAATTCAAAAGGAGGTATACCAGGGCTTGGTCCAAGAATCTAGTGAAGATTATATAACATTGTACGAAGTTAAATTGATTGGAAAACCTTATCGTAATCCGGAGCGGATTAAATCTTTTAAGTAAGCAATCAGTTAATTAGTTTGATATAAATATAAATCATTGATATTAAAATATAATGATCATTTTTATATTAATTTACATAATTGTAGCTTTTGTATTGTGCAAAGATATACACTTATTCCACCTTTTAAAGGTGAGGTTCCTGGTATGCCTACACCTTATATTAGAATACCTACGCTTGCTACTCACTTTCCCTACCAAGTACGTGAAATACATAATGCTCCCATAAGGTATTTTCGTCTACTTTCGGCACAATCTCGGCCACTCGATGCTTTAACAGAAGGACAAAATGATGAGAACGGTGTGAGCGCGTCTGATTCTGATAAACAACAACCTGAATATTGTGAAACGCATATGTATACTCATGAAAATGGAAATACTTACTTCGTGCCTGTCTTGCGACGAGGACAAGCAATAGTTCCCATTCAAAACTACGAACATCCTATTGAAAGGTCTTTAACTGCAGCTGTGGAGAATGTATGTTCTGACTCAACTCTGACCTCTAGCACATGTGATACTCATAGTATGGCCGAAGAATGTGATATTAATAACGAAGAACCGGTAATTATTACAAACTCCACTTCTGATTTTGATATTGAGCACAATCAGGAAAGTATAGAAATATCGAGGCATCCATCCTTACTTACATTTTGTGCTAGTGCGTCCGATATTGCCGTAGAAGTCATTGACACACAAACGAGCATAATCGCAAAATCTAACAATATGACTTGCAGTAAGTAATGCACTCAAATATTTTAAGATTAAATTTATTTATTCTTCTCCCACAGCCCAATTAAAAACCGTACAACATATGCAAACTAAACCGTTTCGTGCAATTGCGAGCCATTGTTTACCTTGTGGAATTTCTAATCCACAGGAGTATTTATTTCCATCATTCCACTCTAAACGTATTGAAGCGGGGAGCAGTGAAGGTTTGTTTATTTAAATCTATAAATTATCCAATAATTTAATTGTTGAAATTATAGGTGTAGCGTATATGGATGGTATTTACTTTCAAACCATGGAAGGCTATTTCGTGCCATCAGTTGATATTAACACACGGCATGATATACAAAGGCAATTTTTAAAACAAGGAAGACCGCAATCAGAGCAAAACTTATTGTTTGCTCGCAATATTTGTGACATTGCATTTATGATGATACGCAGTTTTCATGAGCCACATAAGAAGCCTAGGAACGTCAAAGGTGTGATAATAAGTACTCAGACTGAAATTAGTTACGATATTGGAATAAATGCTGGTCTGTTTTTGTCTAATTGCGGTATTAAACTTTGGTTTCATGTTAATCGAAATATGGACGTTGATGAATCTATTACACCAACCATTGCACCGTCAGACAATAAACTTTTTGAGCTTTTTCGTAGCAGTAATGAAGTTACTACCAAAGTTAGTGAGCTACCAGATCCTAACTTTGTCATTGTTATAACGCAAGCTGATAATAATATTGAACTGTGTGATAAACTTAAAATGTGGATAAGTACAGTAAAAGCTCCTTTGTTTTTCGTAGATCCTGCGGTAAACAGCCAGCTACAAACAGCCAATTGTCACAAATATGCAATCATTCCAATATTACCAATTGAAGGATTCAACGAATACAACTACATGCAAACATTTCTCTGTAATTTATCTGTACCGGAGAAGTTGATCAAGTGCATAATACCACATTATAAATCACCTTTTGGTGTTAATGATATTGTTGAGATTACTAAAGCCGAAATGAGTTCAAGCAAAACTTCTATTAATCAGATATCTGTTGAAGAATCCACAAAATTGGAATTTGAAACTCAGTTACTTTATGAAAATTGAGTCTATACCAAAGTCTACAATTTATGTACAACAACTGTAGTAAAATGAATATCCTGGAGCTACATACTATAGATTTTACAGTAATTTAATATAACAATTTAACCATAAACTGATCGTGATCTAATAGACTTACGTTATATACGTTTTCAACAGACTGACATTTCCATAGAATGAAAAATTAAAGTGTGCGCAAAATTCAATCCAAATTTACAGTTGATAAATTTATTATTATCAAAATAAATACATATATACACATCCATATAACAAGTCTCTCATTTTTTTTTATTTCTTTTCTTTAAAAAAAAACAATTCATATACAGTCGTCCTTTCCAACTTGTTGGTAAAAACTGCAATATTTATATATTATTGGATCTGTTGTCTAATCAAATATGAAAGTCGAGTAAGGAAGTGTTTCAATTATTTTTAGCAGCAAGTGCAGAGTATAAACTTTTATTTAAATAGAATAAGTTTTATGTATGAGTAAAATATAAAAGAGTGCTGTTGGATTATAGTTAAGTTAACTTGTAAGTTTGTGAATAGTCTAAATCTGAACTCAAATGTGAGTTCACTACAGTAAGTACCAAGTCTGCTGTATTCCTCAAATAGGTATATAGGAATAGGTACTACACAATTTTTTAAAAAAATTTTTATAAAAAGGATAATAAACTGACAGGGTGTCTACACTGGCTAGATTTTGGTAAGATTTTAATTCTGTGTCTACACTGACTAGACTTTGGCAAGATTTTTATAATGGCAACATCTGCTATATGCATATCTAGAACATCAAATAATCAATCCAAGATTTTGAAGTAATGTAATCCTACAACATTCTAAACTTAATGGTAGCAGCTACCGACTTAAAAAAATACATATACAAAATCTAAAAAATTTTGTTTTGTTAGAATCAAAGCTTTCTGGATACAGGAATTCTATTATAATTTCTAAGCGACTGCTGTACAAAGTTATTAGTATTAGTTATAAATAGATTCAAGAGTTGGGCGGTTAATAAATAACACTTCGACCGTTCTATAACTCTAAAGGAAATTAATTTTCTCTTTTTTCTTTTCGCTCTTACCCAAACTTCTATAGCAAAAACATTCAATTCTCAAATCACACATTTACTATGTGTATTCTTTAATATAATTTTTAACCTAGTTATAATTAAATGAAGGATACAATAAGACTTACTTATTTACATATAGTTAACATGACACATAAGATTGAGATTTGCAAATATGTAAATATATATCATAGAATTATTAGGTTGAACAAAAATAAACGACTAACTTATAAGGTTTCTTTCTTCTTAGAATCCGTTTCCCTTAGTGGAGCATAGCGCCACAACGATTCTCTTAAACTGCACTCTGTAAGGTGCTTGTCTGCATATATAGTTCCATGTGTAGAGCGCTGCTATCATATATAATGGTTTCTTTAGGGATAGAAAATTATGATGCATAAGTTACAAAGCATCTATCTCAGTGAAAAAAATTAAATCTGTTTTCGATTGGCAAATAGTTCTCGATATTTATATTTTATTTTATTATTGATATTTTATTTTTATTGCATTTACTTGCGAATTAAAAGTTAAAAATTAAACTAGAATAAAAAAAACAAAGATTGTAAAAATGAATAAAATTATATCACATTTAATTGAAAATTAATCATTTAAGGAAGATTCTTCTGATAATTTCGGTGGACCAAAAAATCTAGAGTGGGGGATTTTATAAATGATATAGTTTTCAATAACGCGAATATATTGTAAATAATAGTACAATATAATAATGTGAACTTAATCATTTATTTAGTTTATAGAAATTATTTGATTAAGCCGTGGTACTGCAAAAACAATTTATACGTCAATTTTGCAACATTTTAAACATTGGCAGCGGTCAGGAGAAAAGAAGGGTGCAAGTTCTAAGCCACAACGCTTAATGGTGCTTTTTATGGTGCTTATAAAAAATTTTCCGTATAAAAATGCTCACTTTATATAACAATTTCAGTTTTTGGCTAAAAATAATACTATCTACCGAGAAGTGGCAAAGTCATTTAACAGATTTATTTCGAGTGCCCATAGACTTATTTCTTTCTATTTTGCAAAAAAACATATATAGTAAATCATAACGCATATCATCATAAAGTACACATATCATAACATTTCTTCAAATTAATTGTAAAAGTTTTTGAGTAGTAAAATTAATAGGCATTAAAATTAACTCTCTAATTCCGTCTGAATTTTTAGTCAATCTTGTATCAACTTATATTGTCAAAAACTAAGAAAGTAGGAAGAGATATGTAATCTCTTCCAAGAAATTCTTCGAGTTTGTCAAAACAAACTGTTTCATCCAGCATTACTCCCGATAATTCCATCGGGATTGTTTTGATCGCTAATTGCAACCATTAAAACTTTTATCTATTAGAACTCTGCAAGTCTTTTTTTGTAACCTTGCAATCTAATTAGATTGAGATTTTTAAAATGACAACTAGAAAGATACTGTGTAGGTATTTGAGGAGACGACTAATGAATTATCCATTTTGAGTTACTACCGCTTGAAAAAAAATCGATTCAAATATATGCCACTGTTCTTCTATGCTGCCAACAATAAAAACACTTGAAAAAATTCTGATATCTATTTAGTTATCTATAAACCTTTACTGTTTTATACTACACATATTTTTGATGACTACAAACACTGAGAAACTTTGGTTTTAATCCATTGACAATGTGTTTTCATTAGTTCCTATCTCTGTAACACTGCTTCAAAGCATGACTGTACCAAGTATGAGTCATTAGAAATTGTGTTTGTAACGAAAAATATGTTTTAATTTTATGTAAAATCATTTTTTCATTTTTTGTCTTTAAATTTTAAATTACAATAATTACAATAGCCATACCCCATACCCCCTACTCCCTACACCCATCTTCCTTCTCTCCATACCACGCCGATACGTTCTGACTTACATATGCCTATACATCTAGGCACTAAGTTTCGTTATCTCAACTCTCTCTCTCCACTGCTTACTCACACTGCCATTTATTCATTTCTAATAGATGGTTTTATTGGACTAATACACTGTTCTATAGTAAAATTATAAGATAAGAAAATAAAAAAGATATATTACAACTATGGCCCTTAACGTTCAAGTAATTTCGCATACAAAATAAATAATACAACAACGTGTGCTATAATTTTTTCTACGAGCCTATGACCTCGTGCTATTATATTATGATGTATCCTAAATTCTAAATTATGATCTAGAATCAGGTTTTTTCTGTTCACGATTTTTGTAAGAAAACGTATTTCCAGAAACTTGGAGAGACAGGTTCTACGTTTATCGGTATAAAGAACTTAACGTCTTCTAGCGATTTAACCTTATTATTATTATTATTATTATTATTATTATTTGTTGTACTTTTCAGTGGGATGGAATGATGCCTTAAGCGATGATGAGGCATTGTAATTATACATTAAGACCGAAAAGTTTTCGGAAATTCTCATTTAAAATTCGCGCGCTGTATATTTTTCGATATTTTAAGTTTATGTAGTTTGGCAGCACTGTCCTTAATTACTATGCCAAAAATGAGCGCGATCTGTCAGACAGTTCGTTTACGGCAGCTGTTGAAACCAGTTCACCTCAGTAGGGCGTTGCGAAAAAAACAATGGAAAAAAATATTGAACAAAGAGTTTGCATCAAATTTTGTGTTTCGAACGAAATTTCGTGTGCAGAATCGTTGCGAATGCTACAAAAGGCTTATGGGGAATCAGTTTTATCGAAAACTCAAGTTTATGAGTGGTACAAAGCCTTCCAGGACGGTCGTACGACCGTCGAAGACATTTCGCAACGCACTACTGAGGTGAACTGGTTTCAACAGCTGCCGTAAACGAACTGTCTGACAGATCGAGCTCATTTTTGGCATAGTAATTAAGGACAGTGCTGCCAAACTACATAAACTTAAAATATCGAAAAATATACAGCGCGCGAATTTTAAATGAGAATTTCCGAAAACTTTTCAGTCTTAATGTAAGTATAATCGCTTGCTTGTTTTTTTTTTTTAAATTTTTAGCGTTAATAAGTCATATCATTTAAAACTTTTTCTCAAGTTTCTCATTTTAAAACTTTTTGTGAATGACACAATACTGAATATGCTGTGGAAGTTCACAATCAATCAGGATAAACATTTTACTTAATTGCTTACTTAACACTTCTGATTTTTCGACATCTCTCTAGCCCAAGAACTCATCTTATTTCTAATTGGAACATTTTGTGTTGGTGCCTTTTGTTTTACTACTTTTAAGAGTAAAATAGTTTAAGTATTTTTTTCGAATCTAATATTGGATAATATTGGATAATATTGGATCGGTATAATCAATCGAGTTAGTATACCTTTTTCTAATTTAATGTGCGGTAATCACTAATTAGTAGAGCTAATGCATAGCACTTTTGTGCAAGAATTTTTTTGACTGATTGCATTAAGTAGTGCCCGTACAAAATAACTAATCAAAATTAACTCTAATTAATAAATGAATATGTATATGAGAAAAACAAAAAAACATGAATACATAGCTAAGAAATCTAACACATTATGTAATTATATAACATATTTATGCTTTTTTCATATAATTATCAGTGCACAGCCGAAGATAAAGCGTTTAAAAGGGACATTTGTTAGATAAACATTTTAAAGAGATGTTGATTTTTTTTGTTATGTTTATTAATAATTATAATTGCAAATTGTTATAATTACCATGTTTTATAATCAACAAAATACTTTGTAAAAATTAACAAGGCAATTAAATTGCCTTTTTTCTAGTTGTTCACAATTAATTTTTTTTTTTGTGACAAACAACAAACAACAATATTTTTGTGTATTTAATACGAATTTTTTAATTATATCCTTGTTGCATTTAAATTGAAGATTTATTAGAAACATTTACCAAACGATTTAGGGATACATTCAAATTGTAGTCTTTAAACAATTGCGGCTGGCTTTCATCGTTTGAAACCCCGTTTACGATTGTATTATGACTGTCGTATGTCGTATGCTTATGTAAGATAAGATCTCTTATTGATTCTATAGTTGCTTTTATTAGTTCCAGATTGACGGTTTAATGTCTGGATTTATTGAAGCAGTAACCGCCTTTAAATACTGCCCTTGATTTTATTTATAACATATTTTTGTTATTGTCGTGTTAATTGTTGTATACGCGTATGTTTTTATGTGTGTGTGTCTGTAAGTATATG